ATATTCATGGAGCATCTCTCCATTATTACGTTGTATCCCACATATTTGCTTGCGAATACTTATAGCCTTTGATGCTTGGAAAATACTTCTCTAGGAACAATCTCTTTATCTCATTCCATTTGTTGATTATGCCCGAGGGTAAATAATAAAGCCAATCCTTGGCATCATTAGCCAAAGAAAATGGAAAAACTCTCAATTTAATGTGCTCCTTAGACACCCCTGTCGGTCTTATGCTTGAACACATAACATGGAATTCCTTTAGATGCTTGTTCGGATTCTTACCTATAAGACCACGAAACTTTGGTAACAAGTGTATCAAACCAAATTTTAATTCAAAAGCAACATCAAGATCGGGATACCGAATGTATAAAGGTTGTCGATTAAAATTAGGAGTAGCTAACTCCTTTAAAGACACGTTTACATTTTTATTTACATCCATCTCCTCACCTTCGGAATCACTAGAAGAACTATCGGACTCTAAAGCAACATTTATACATGGTGAAGCGACAATTGCTCTTTTAGCTTGAGATTGTCTAGTTGCTTTTCTTAACCTTCAAGCAATTCTTTCAATTTCTAGATTAAAAATTAATTCTCTAGAGGTGGAGGATCGAGTCATAAACTAACAAAATAAAAGTAAGATAAAATAAAAAAAAATTCAGTAAAAATTAACCAACGCTAGTCCCCAACAACGACGCCAAAATTTGATGCGTGTCATAGCACACCAAAAATAAATTCTATTCCTAGCAATCAACAATAATGTAAACAGGGGAATAGGAATTGAATCTACAAAGACTCGTTGTGATTAATAAATATCAAATAACAAAAGTAAAGGGGATTGTTTGCTAGAAATTCAAAATTAAACAAAAAAAATTCAAAAAAAAATTATAAATCAATAATTAGAAACTCCGACCCAAGGGCAATTCTTTGGTCCAACTCGGGTGGTTGATCATCGCCAATAAAAGATAATACCATCAAACATTAATTAAGTAATCAAGTTATACTCACAAGCAGTAAATATAAACTATTTCTTCCCAAAGTATTTAATTCGGGTGAAGCACTCGGATTAATCCTTGTTATCTAATGATTCACTAGACAAGGGTCCTCCTCTATTAAATGACAACATTAGGTTCTAGGAAGAGATTAATATGAACAATGATTTAACACAAGCGACAACCACTTAATCCATACTATGTTCTTAAGGATTAATAATGAAACCTAGGATCACAATCATTAAAAATACATTTGCTACTATGAACAATATGATAACAATTACGGATTACTACATTAATTCTAGCAATAGATTCCAATTAATATTTATACAATGGGCCCTTATCAAACAAATACCAATTGTAATCATAAATCAATAACACACATAAGAACAATAGATAATTAATGAATTGATAGATGAAGGGTAGAAATAGGTCTCACAATCACATAGATCTATACCGAATTCCCTTAAGCTGAATCGTAGACTTTAGCCACTCATGGCTTTTAAGAGCATGGATTTATTTTAAAGAAAAGTGTAAGGTATGTTGTCTAGAAAAAAGCTCCTCTATGGTTCTTCAAAAAAATTAAATATCCAAGAAAAAGAGCATGTTCTCTCGTTTTTTAAATCTGAAAATATCCTTTAAAAAATCGGATGAGGATAGAGTTTTAATGTAATCATAACTCTTTCTAAGTTATCTCCCGAAAATCAAAATCCTAATTTCTTATTTTGTCTTTGCTACCAATTTTGGACCGGGTACATTCTGAATTTGAGATTTCTTTCTTCGAAGAGTTTTATTCCTATCTATTATCTTTCCAATGCCATTGGTTTTGCATCAATTGAATGTCTAAGACTCGAGTTAAATGCCAAACACTAAAGCTGTGCAAATTAGTCCGACTGCAATTAGGAACCGACTTGCTAGCTAATTTTTAACTTTAAACCCACCTACTTTGGACTTAGACCCATCATCACAGTTGTAAATATGGGTATTAAATCTTTATTAAGATTGGATCCGTATCAATTGCCCATCTATAACTCCAAACATGAATTAATGACCAAAACCGGTTCTCGGGCCCAACAGATTCTACATCAACTTCTCCGATCAGATTTTGAGATATTATTTTAAAATACAAAAGAACTTGGATTTTGACCCAACACATCATTTTGGAAAGCTTGAGCTGTCCTCTATAGAAGTTATGAAGGCCGCTTCTTTCCATTCAAACTCCCAATCTACCAAAAATCGCAAGAAAGATAGAAGGTCTAAGTGAAAACGTGCTAGAATTCTTAACTTTTAAACACAATTACTCCTAATCCCGAATTTATGTTTTATAAATAAATATGAACATTAATTAACCTATTAAGACATAAAACATAGCAATTCAACTACATTTAAGGAGAATAGAAATATAATATAATGTGTTTATCAATCTCGCTCTCGCTGTTGTTGTCTCCTGGTAGAATGGTCAAGAAAGCGATATTTGAGCTACGATACCAATTGACGTAGCGAAAACTCATAAAAAAAGGATAAATACTATTGATTTGAAATTCAAATATTGATCTACTACATCCTGTTAAATTGCACACACAAATACTAGGAAATAGGCTTTAATCCTGTTAGATTCAAAGAATGCTAAAAATTGAAAAAACCGAAATACTCTCCCATAAAAGTTTATTAATCAAGCAAAAGTGGCATTTTCAGCCTCAAAGTCATATATAAATAGTAAATTTTTAGTTAAAACCCGAAAGCAATTTGAAAAAGAAACAAACACTAAAATCTAAAAATATTAAGAAAAAAATTAAAAAAAAATAGTAAATTGAGATTTTGAGGCTCTAAACAATGTTTTTTTTTTTAGCCAAAATCACCCTTATATCATTGGCATAGCCATGAGTTTTGCTTGTTAATCTGTTTAGCATCGAATTAGGCTAAAAAAGCCTCAAAATTGGGCCAATAATATTTTTTCAGACTTCTGCCGTGCTCATACTTGTTTTATGAATTTTCGAGCATGTTGGTCCACATCAATATCTAAGAGATAGAGCTGTAAACTATTAAACTTTAATGTAAGGATAACTTTGAATGCCATAGTACTTGTCAAAATGCGGGCAGATTATAGATAGTGTAGGATAGCTTGATCCAGATTTTTCTAAAGGACTAAAAGTCAAGCAATGAATAATGGTTTATGATATTGCAAGGATCGATTGAAAGAAACCTGATGAATTTGTGATATTTTACTGTCAGGAATAAAGTAATGACTTATTCATCTTCTCTTGAAACTTCACTGGGAATAGGTCAATAGCTGGGAGTAGAATTGAATAACAAGACAATGTGCTTATGGACATTTTTGGAGAATTTAATTCAATTTGGGACGTTGACTTACAACTCCCTCTTCAATTGGTCAACTTGATTGTTTATAAGCAAGCAAAAGAATATAAAACTCTTAGGTTTGATATTTTTTGTATTAATTAGTTGGAGGGTATTAGCACTACCAAGTTATTTGGACTCGAACATGAACCTGGACGCATGAAGTTTTACATGTAAAAACAGATATCATTTTAATTTAAAAATCTAAACTGAAGACACCATTATTTGCCAAGAAAGAGATTGAAAGGATAAAGCCTTAAATTTTCATTTTTTAATATACTTGTTTTTCACCAAAGAATATATAATGATTTAATCGGTTGTTATTACTAATATTGTTATATAGGGACATGTGTCATGTGGTTACAACAAGAAAGTTTTTGTTGATATACATTTTGGTCATTGAAGGTTTGTTTTTTGAAAAACTTATTTTGATTCCTATATTTTATTTTTATAAATAAGTTCCTTAAATGAAAGTTTTTTGATCATTGTGTTTTACATTAAATACAATTTAGCCTTGGAATATTTTTTCTATTAAATCCTTACTTGTCAAATTATAAACCTTGATCAAATTTAGTCAAATAATTCATAATTGAGATTGAGTAGTGGACAATATAAGAGTTAAATTGGTTGACTTGTGTGTTAATGTTGAATCGTTCTTTTTTTTTCAAATTTTTTTTGATTTTAAACTAAAACAATCGAGATAAATATAAAGATAAGTGAAAAAGTATTGAGTATATATATAGTAAAACAAGAACAAACCGAAGTAAAAGCGCTTCAATAACCCAACAACAATAGATTAATACTTATAAAACTAAATATTATCAATTTAACTCTTCAGCAATAAACAATTCTACCAATATAATTGAAATAACAAAATTCGTTTAAATTGTATTTACTGTAAAATATGATGACCTAAAAACTTTATTTAAGGACTTAGTTGTAAGAAAAAACCATATCAATTTTGAAGAATTGTTTTGTTTATTCAAAGTAAACGGTGATGAAGTCAGAGTAAGGAATATCTTCTGAGTTAATTATTTTGGTTCTATATGTTTCTTGGAAGCGACCAAAAAAACCCTATCAATTTTAACGAATTGTTTTGTTTATTTTAGATTTTTTTTTTCATTTCACTTTATTATTTTATTTTTATTAACAAAAGTTTTTGTTATTTTTTACTATTTTTTTTTAAAAAATTGTCAAACATGATGGTATCCTAGTGAAACTTAACTGCCACACCAAGTTAAATCAGAGAATTTTTTTCTTAAAGACTAATTTTGTTTTGGTCAATAATTTAGGGAAATGAGCACCTTTTAACCAGTAAAATAATACAGTTGCGCCCTTCCCATGCAATGTTCTAAGCTCTTCTTCTAGGCTTTAGGTATCCATACGACCACAGACCTTATAAATACGAGATGTTTCCCTTTCCATTCAAGTTTAAGCAAAAAACCTAGCTAGAATCACCCTAATAATCAGCATACAAACAAGATGAAGAAAAGCCCTTCAAACCCTTTTCTGTGTTTGCTCTTTTTCTTTCTTTCTTTACAGATTTTGTTCATAGAAGTGTTGGTAGCCCAGAACACAACAGTAATTCCAGTGAGTGTAGGTGTGGTTCTTGGCTTGGAATTCTTGGATGGAAATATTGGTTTGAGTTGCATCAACATGTCACTTTCCGATTTCTATGCCACCCATGGTGACTACAAAACCAGACAGGTCCTCACCACCAGGGACTCCAAGAAGGATGTTGTTGGTGCAGCTGCAGCAGGTTAGCTTTCTCTCAACTGTTGAGTTGATCTAATATTGTTTTTTTTTTTTTTTGGTAGGCTGATGATAAACCTCCTTGTGCACAAATTAATGGCATTGAGGATTAGTTCTCTTGGATATTAACCTCATTAATATAGTACAAATAACGAGTGTCAAAAGTCTTCCAAAAATGGTGGCTAGCTTCCTTTCAAAAGTCATCTATACATGTGAGCTGTACTCTTTAGAGCAAGGTTTGTTATTTTTTATTTAAGGGGATGCTAAATGCAAACTCTTAGGGCAATAGCAACTGTCCTAGATGAAACCAGGGCATGCAAGCATTCCAAATGTGCCTTTTCTTTGATAAATGAAAATGGGAATGAAGAGGGGTTGACCATCTAAACAAAGAAGATAAAAAAGAGTTTGGAGAGCTTGATCAGAGGGTAGAACTCGAACCTTTTCGAAGGACGTAGGTCGAGCTTGATCAGAGATAAATATGTTATCTCCTTAAAGAACAGTAGAATAACTCGAACCTTTAATCTTGCGGACTGAATGAGTTTTTTACTTATCAATTGAATTCATTTTTTTTTATTCATTAGAGGTCCATAGGCTTTTTGGGTCTATACGAAGTAACCCTCTCCCATTACATAATTATTAAAGAAACTTAAAATCATTAAAATTCGAATCTTGTTAGACTAGAAAATTTTTCTCTATATAATTACTAAAGAAACTTGAAATCATTAAAATTCGAATCTTGCTTGACTAGAAAAGTTTTATAAGTATACAACCATTAAGCTAAACTTGTTTGTGTTGAATTCACTTTTTTAGTAACCATCTCTTAGTTATAAGCAGCCATTGTTTAGGTTTTGTTTAGATTAATAATTTCAGATGTATTAGCTCATTTGTTAAATTATTTTACTTGTTTTCAGCTACTACAACTGATGTAATAGACAGCCTTAGGTATGCTGTTCCTTCATGCATAAAATATAAACTCAAATTATCATTGAACAAAAGAGAATTAGAAATTCATAAGCCATCCGAGGGTAGAACTTGAACCCAAAACCTCCGTGGATGCTATAGGGAAAATCTAAACTACTTGTGCGAATTCTTGGCGGGTGAAAGGGAAAAGAACTTAGGTTCCTGTATATATTGTACTAGAAGTTGGATTTACAGTATGAGAAGGGAAATAAGAAATAGTTGGAGCAGAAGGGATTGATAAGAGGAGATGATAAAGGAAGGGATAAGAGGCCATAGGAGGTGGGCTGATTTTTAGGTTGGTGTGTCTTCTATGGGTTTAGGTGGCATGCAGCAGGAGAACAGAAAAAATTCACAAACCCAAAATGCAAAGGATAATCCATTAATTGCTGCATCCTTTTCTGCTGCATAATCACTATATTCCAATTTAATATGAAGTACAATATAGTCATAAGTCTCTTTGATTAACCTTTACTGATATAATTGACCTATAAGAGTTTTTTTTTCCCTTAATGGTGTTAAAAATACAGCCCTGGACCTGATAAAAAATGTTGAAGTGCAAGCAATCATAGGGCCAACAACATCAATGCAAGCCAGTTTTGTTATTGACCTTGGAGAAAAAGCTCAGGTGCCCATCATATCTTTTTCTGCATCAAGTCCTTCTCTAACTTCCAACAGGAGTCCCTACTTCTTTCAAGCAACACAAAATGACTCAACCCAATTGAATGCCATAAGTGCATTAGTTCAAACCTTTGGATTCAGAGAAGCAGTACCCATCTACATCAATGATGATTACGGAGAGGGAGTCATACCTTATTTAACTGATGCTTTGCAAGCAGTTGATGCTCGTGTCCCGTACCGGAGTGTCATTTCTCCATCAGCCACCGATGATCAAATTGTTGAAGAGCTTTACAAGCTGATGACAATGCAAACTAGAGTTTTCATTGTGCACATGTTTCCATCTCTTGGTGCTCGGCTTTTTGCCAAAGCAAAAGAGATAGGAATGATGAGTGAAGGCTATGTTTGGATCATGACTGATGGTCTAACAGCTGACTTCTTGAGTTCGCCAAATCGTTCTGTCACTGATACAATCCAAGGTGTATTGGGTGTTAAACCTTTTGTACCAAGAACAAACGATCTCAAAATTTTTCGAGATCGGTGGAAAAGGAAATTCCAACAAGATAATCCAGATATTGTTGATACTGATTTGAACATTTTTGGATTATGGGCCTATGATGCAGCAACAGCATTGGCCTTGGCAGTTGAGAAAGCTGGAACTACAAATTCTGGCTTCCAAAAGGAAAATGTTTCTAGCAATTCATCAACAGATCTTGCAACTCTTGGGGTGTCTTTAAATGGTCCAAACCTTCTTCAAGCTTTATCAAACACTGCTTTCAAAGGCCTTACCGGAGATTACCTTTTTGTTAATGGGCAGTTACAGGCATCAGCTTTCCAGATAATAAATGTGAACGGAAATGGGGGAAGAGAGATTGGATTCTGGACACCAACCGAAGGAATTGTCAAAACACTAAACACAACAAAAAATATGACTGCATCCTCAACATCGAATTCCGGTCTTTCAGCTGTAATATGGCCGGGTGATACAACTTCTGTTCCCAAGGGTTGGGAGATTCCAACAAGTGGGAGGAAGTTGAGGATAGTAGTGCCTGTCAAGGATGGTTTCAGTGAGTTTGTCAAAGTGACAACAGATCCTATTTCTAACACTTCAAAAGCCACCGGATACTGCATAGATGTTTTTGATGCTGTAGTCAAAGCATTGCCTTATGCTTTGCCTTATGAGTACATCCCCTTTGCAAAGCCTGACGGCGAGCCTGCGGGAACTTACAATGATCTGATATATCAAGTGTACTTGAAGGTAAAACATTCAGATTCTATCTGAAGTATGATTAGCCCCAAATTCATGCCTGCAAATCTGATTTTTTATTGACACGTTCTTTCTTTTGCATTTGTTTGTTTCTATCAACAGAATTTTGATGCTGCAGTGGGAGATACAACTATTATTTTCAACCTGTCCCTGTATGTTGATTTTACTTTGCCTTACACTGAAAGTGGTGTCTCCATGATCGTCCCTATTGTCGACAACAAAAGCAAAAATGCATGGGTTTTCTTGAGGCATCTGAAATGGGATCTCTGGGTGACAAGTTTTTGTTTCTTTATTTTCATGGGATTTGTGATCTGGGTTCTTAAACATAGAATCAACGAAGAGTTTCGAGGGCCTGCCTCACATCAAGCAGGCACTAGCTTCTGGTTTTCCTTCTCAACCACGGTTTTTGCACAGAGTAATTTTCCTTTCCCTTTTCCTTTTGATTTTTCTTCTCCGATTTAAATACTCTTTAACATATACGTTACTATCTAGCGTCTCAAACACCAAATTGACCTAATCTTTACTTCTTTTTTTTGAACTATAATTACAGGGGAGAGAGTGGTTAGCAACTTGTCTAGAACAGTGGTAATCATATGGTGTTTTGTTGAACTGATCCTCACACAGAGTTACACTGCCAGTTTAACTAGCCTACTTACAGTCCAGCAGCTGCAGCCTGCAGTTAATGATGTCAATTTTCTCATTAAGAAGGGGGAGTTTGTAGGCTACCAGGAGGGTTCTTTTGTTCAGGGAATCCTGCTAGGCTTAGGTTTCGACAAGTCCAAGCTCATTGTGTATAATTCTATAGAAGAATGCGATGACCTTCTATCCAAAGGAAGTGGAAATGGTGGCATTGCTGCTGCTTTTGACGAAGTTCCATTCATGAAGCTCTTACTGTCAAAGTATTGCTCTAAATATACCATGATTGATCATACATTTAAAACCGACGGTTTTGGCTTTGTAAGTTCATCAACCCTCTCCATATCTTTTCCTCTCTCTTGTAAGTTTCTTAATCCTGATACTTGCTTGCTGCTTTGTGTTGTGACTTTCCAGGCCTTCCATAAAGGTTCTCCTCTAGTACCTGATGTATCAAGGGCAGTTCTAAACATGACGGAGGGAGATAAAATGAACGAAATTGAGGATGCCTGTTTCGGAAAACAAAGCAATTGTCCAGATTCCAGCACCTCGGTTACATCTAACAGCCTCAGTCTCAAGAGTTTCTGGGGCTTATTTTTAATTGCTGGAATAGCATCGCTGTTAGCTCTTATTATGTTCATGGTCATGTTTGTTTACCAGGAAAGGAAAGTGTTGAGTTCCTCTGCTTCCAAAGATTCCGTAATGAGTAAAGTCCGCAATTTCTTCAGGATCTTCATTCAGAGGGACTTGAATTCCCATACTTTCAGAAAAAGTGAACTGAATTGCAGAAGTGCCATTAGTCAGCCTAGTATGGCAAGCCCGTCAGCCTATTCAGTTAGCACTTATTTCCCTGGAGATGGAGATCAATGCTCTGCCGAGTATGGTGATTCCAGCCTAGACAGGCAAGCATCTCATTTGGTAGTAATGAATATTGATCAGCTTACCAACCCAAATCAAGAAAGGCTAGCAGGTTTAGAAATGGACCATGAAAATGATTGACTTTTAGATACTACCATTGACAGTTTGTGTAACACCCCAAATTAGAATCTTCTTGTGTACTGTTTAAATCTTATATATATATATATATATATATCTGTGTGTGTATGTTTTGTTAAACATGTAATAGCTATGTTCATGTATAAATAAAAAAATTATTTTATACTTGTATGAAATTATGTTTAAACTAGTTTATATTAATTACATAAGTTTGCATGATTAAGTTACTAAGAATTAAAGCTATGTGGGAAAAAGATTAAGTGTGTGTGTGTGTGTGTGTATGTGTTGCATGAATAATTTAATTATTTAATATATGAATATTTATTTAAGAAATAAATTAATACTTGCTTAGACAATAAATTAATTTAAATGCTTGATTTAGTAAGTTATAAGATTAATTGTTGAGGTTATAATAATTGAAAGGTGTAATTGCAACATTTTAGGAGTTTAATTGGTACAATTAAAAGATTTGGATGCTTAATTAAAATAAGTAGAAAATAAAAATGACCAATATAAATATTAATTTGGCTGAAGTTGGCCCTTTATATTCAGATTTTAGCTAGAAAAACAAAAAGAAAGAGGGGTCGGTATGTCGATGAAAAAGAAGAAATAGAAAGAAAGAAAGAAAGGAAGAGAGAACTAGAGAGAATTCTAGAGAGGCATTAAATGAAGGATAGAAAGGATTGATCCAAGTAGGGACTGAATTTGTAGGATTCAATTGAAATGATTAAGGAAGTTTAGGGACTGAAATATAATATTTTGGCAAATTAAGGAACTAGTTAATTTGGCTGAAATTGGCCATTTCTATTCAGATTTTAGCTGGAAAAACACAAAGAAAGAGGGGCTGGTATGTCGATGAAGAAAGAAGAAATAGAAAGAAAGAAAGAAAGGAAGAGAGAATTGGAGAGAATTCTAGAGAGGAGGCATTAAATGAAGGATAGAAAGGATCGATCCAAGTGTGCCACACTTGGAAAAATCACAAGGAAATCCTCCTTTATAAATCTAGCAAGAAGAGGAAGAAGAAGGGAACGGAAGCTTGAAAATTCAAGAAGAATCAACTTGAGCTCAAGGTAAATTCAAGTTAAATTAAGCCTACCAACTACCTAATACCACCTAAAACACCTTACATACATGCCAAATACCCTCTAGAAAAGCTTGAAGAGATTAAACAAACAAGAAAGAAAACAAGAAGGTTTGGCTAAAGCATCGAGGAAGAAGAATGAGAAGGAAACTTCAAGCAACCAAGGAAGAATTTGATCGAGCATCAAGTGAGGTAAGTGTAGTTCTAACTACACTACAAGAAAATGATTAATTTGATGCTTGATTGTCCCTATTTTGAAGTTTTAGAAATTATGAATTGGTAATTTGAATTGTTGGGTTTTTGTGTGATTGATAAATCTTGATGAATTTATGATGGAAACATGTTTGTGAAGGTTGAAATAACATTTTTGAAGATTTAATTAAGGTTGAATTAGAGAATCAAAATTGGGCAAGTGAAGTTGAATGCTTCGAGCCAAAACAGTTGATTTTGGCGTAAAATATTAACTTCCATGATTTTGTGTTCTTAGGTGTTCTTTAGGTGAATTAGGCATGTTTAAGGGTGTTTGATTGGAAAAGTTGGCTTGATTATCATTATTGATCATTTTGCCCTTAATCCTTGAACTTAGACTAATGGAGTTAATAGGTGTAATTATGATTAATTGGTGTAATTGAAATGATTATATGTTTATATGATAAATTAGGTGATTAAATGAAAGATTGATGTTGATTATTTGTGTTGGTTAATTCGGCAAAAGAACTCTAAGTTTAGGTGAGGTTGAAGTAGTTGATGTTTGATGAGTTTTATTATTTAATAGAGTGAATTAACATGAGAATGAGTGATTAAATTGAAAAATTCAGCTTGGATAGGTAATGAATGTTATTTGGTTAAAGATGATAACTTGGACTAATTGCCTAATTCATGAGATTAAAGTGAATTAATGCTTGATATATTCTTTAAGGATGATTATATATATGATATATGATTGGTTTGTGCTTGGTTATATGGAGTAGAACTCCTTATTGCATTCGACCAAGTTTAGATTAATGTATGTGTTTTGGCTTGATCATTAATGGATGATCATGCTTGATGGTATATTTGTTGGTTGAATTAGAGATTGATTCATTGATTATGTTGAGTTGATTAGTGATTGATGAAGATGAATCATGAGTTTAATTGATGATTAAGTCATGTAATTAGGTTAAACCATGATTTAGGAACCTTAAAATTTTGTTAAAATCATAAAGCTATTGGTTGTTGAAATGCTTACGTCAAATCTGAAATTTTAGAGGATGAGGTACCAAATCTAAAATTTTAATAGGTTGCTACGATTTGCATGTGTTTAGTAATAATCAAATTAGTTAAGGTATATTTAAGTTGAATGATGATATGTTTACATGAAAATTGATTGATTTCAAGCTTGATTATGATGAAAACAAGTTTAAGCTTCATGGTTAATTTGTTCTTGGTAGTTTCAACCAATATTAATCCTTTGTATGCATTAATGTGTTTTAGTATGTTACATGATAATTGAGCAAGTTATTGGTGATATAATTAATTGGTAATGAATTCATGTGATAATTAATTATTTTCATGTGAATATTGTCATGGAATGGTTATATTGGAATTTGGCCTAGTGGCCTTTTCATTAATCTTGATGTACATGGATTGGTTTAATGATGTTTTCATATATTGTTTGGTTGATTATGCAAGTATCATGTTTTTCATGCATTTCATGAAATGGTTTTCATCATGTTCATGTTTTAAAAGATAGAATCAAGTGTTGGGATTTTTAGAAAATGGCTAGAAATGTCCTAATCACAGATCCTAAATTCAATCATGGCACACAAAGAGAATGATTAACTCTTTGTCATAAGTTCAATCATGGTTCATA